TCACACACAGAGAACCATTTCCCTTATTTTTCTTCCCTTTTTTTTTTTTTTTTCCCCCCAAAATCTTTGGTCTTTTTTAGTTTGTAATAAAAATTAAAAAAAAAAACACGGTGATCAAATACCACCAAAAGAACGCTCTATATGTGTGAAAAAAATATAAATTTGCTACAGTGTTGCATGATCGTGCAATTACCAGTTGAAGTAGTGCATTGCTAAATAAGCCTGCTCATGAAGGGTTAAAGAACCCTTACAAGATTTCAAATAAAATGTAAATCTATTCTTATTTAAGCCTTGGCTAAGGCTGATCTGCCCTTTTTTAATTCCTTTCTCTCTTTCGCTCCGTGTCTATTTTGCTGTGGTGTTTTTATTCTTTTGAGTGCCACATAATAGGAAAGTTTATATTTATATATATATATATATATATATATATATATAGGGTCCATATATATTTGGACATGGACATACTTTTTTGGCTCTGTATGCCACCAGAGTAAATTTTAAATTAACAGGCCAAATTAATTTGAAGTGCAGACTTGCAGCTTTAATTCAAGGGGTTGAACATAAATATTTGAGTACAGATTTTTAGAACAGCAACCATTTTTATACTCCGTGCCTCCATTTTCAGGGCTCAAATGTAATTGGACAAATGAATATAATCACAAATAAAATTAATTTTTAATATTTTGAGAATCCTTTACTGGCAATGACTGCCTGAAGTCTGGAAACCATGGACATTACTAAAAGACTGGGTTTCCTCCTTTTCTGATGATTTGCCAGGCTCTAACTGCAGCGGTCTTCAGTTGTTTGTGGGTCTTTCTGCTTTTTTTAGTTCTGCCTTTAGCAAATGAAATGTATGCCCAATTGGATTGAGGTCAAGTGATTGACTCAGCCATTGCAGAATATTCCACTTCTTTTCCTTCAAAAGCTCCTGGGTTGCTTTTTGCAGTGTGTTTTGGATCACTGTCCATCTGTACTGTGAAGCGCCGTCCAATCAACTTTGCTTAATTTGGCTGAATCTAGGCTGACCGTATATCTCTAAACACTGCAGAATTCATCCGGCTGTTGCTGTCTTCTGTCACATCATCAATAAACACCAATGAGCCAGTGCCACTGGAAGACATGCATGCCCATCACACTGCCTCCACCATGTTTTACAGATCACGTTGTGTGCTTTGGATCATGAGCTGTTCAAAGCCTTCTTCCCGTAATTCTGGTACAGATTAATCTTAGTTTCATCCGTCCAAAGAAGGCTTTTCCAGAACTGGTCTGGCTTTTTAGATGTTTTTTGGCAAAGTCTAATCTGGCTTTCCTATTCTTCAGACTTATGAATGGTTTGCACTTTGTGGTAAACCCTCTGCATTTGCTCTCGTGAAGTCTTCTCTTCATTGTAGACTTTGACAATGATACGCCCACCTACTGGAGAGTGTCCTTCACTTGTCTAGATGTTGCGAATGGGTTTTTCTTTACCATAGAGAGGATCCTGCGATCATCCCCCACTGTTGTCTTCTGTGGACGTCCAAGCCTTTTTATGTTGCGGAGCCCACCAGTGCGCTCTTCTTCTTTCCTCAGAATGTACAAACTGTTGATTTGGCCACTGCTAATGTTGCTGCTATCTCTGGATTTGTTTTTGTTTTTTTAAGCCTTACAATGGCCTGTTTCACTTGCATGGACCTCTCCTTTGAATACATAATGTAGGTTCACAGCGATAGATTCCAAATGCAAATATCACACTTAGAATCAACTCCAGACCTATTACCTGCTTAATTGATAGATGAATACATAATGGAGTAGCCCACACCTGGCCATGAAACCGCTTTTGATTAAATTGTCAAATTACTTTTGATTCCTTGAAAAAGGGGGATGGCTACTCTTAAGAGCTGTAATTCCTAAACCCTTCCAATTTGGATGTACATACCCGCAAATTAAACCTGAGAGTGTGCACTTTCAGCCCATATCCATTATATAACTATAGCTTGAATATGTTTTGGTAAATACCTGAAAAAAAATAAGTGTGTGTAAAACTGAGGTGTGTTTTTGTTTTGTTTTTTTTGTTTATGGAACATTTTGTTTAGCTCATTACATGAAAGTAAGGTTAATAATCTAACTTCAGTTATACAATCTTCATTTTAGTCAAATTAGTTGATGCAAAAATGAATACACCCCACAGCAAAAACTACTACATCTAGTATTTTGTATGAGCTTCATGATTTGTAAGGACAGCACCACATCTTCTAGGCATGGAATGAACAAGTTGGCGACCATATTTCAACATCCTTCCTTTTTTTTTTTTGCTTTTTTTTTTTTTTTTTCCCCAAGAACGACCTCTTTTAGAGCCTGAATGCTGGATGGAGAGTGATGCTCAACTTGTCTCTTCAAAACTCCCCATAGGTGTTCGATTTGGGTTCAGATCAGGAGACATACTTGGCCACTGAATCACTTTCACCCCGTTCTTCAAAAAATGCAACAATGGCCTTAGATTTGTGTTTTGGAAAAGTGCACGACGACTGAGGGCTCAGTGGTGGTATCATCTTCTCTTTCAATATAGAGCAGTACATTTATTAATTCATGATACCGTTAATGAAATGCAGCTCCTCGACGCCAGCAGCACTCGTGCAGCCCCACAGAAGGAGACACTGCCACCACCATGTTTCACTGTAGGCACCATGCATTTTTCTTTGCAATGCCATACAGTTTTGAAGCCATCAGTTCCAATAACATTTATCTTGGTCTCATCACTCTAGAGTACAGAATCCCAGTAGTTGTCTTTTTCAGCATGGGCTCTAGGCAGGCTTTTTTGTGCATGCGCTTTAGGAGATACTTCCTTTTGTGGACAACAACCATGTATGCCATTCCTCTGCAGTGTATGCTGTATTGTGTCATGGGAAACAATCACCCCAGTTTGGCTTTCTACTTTAGCTAACTGCAGCGAACTTGCATGGCACTTTTCTTAAACTCTTCTCATCAGAAGATGCTCCTGTCGAGGTGTTAACTTCCGTAGACATCTCTGAGATGGTTACAGTTCCATCTTTGTTGAAGTCTTGTATTACTTTTGCTACTGTATTCTGGCTGATAAGTAAAGCTTTGCTGATCTTTTTAGCTGCCTTCTTTCTCAGGTCTTATGACATTTCTCTTCCATGTGGTGCAGTTGCTGACAGCATGAAATGGGGAAGGGGTTTTCTTTAAGTAATGCCATTTTTATAATCAATTGTATGCTGGACACCTGTTTAATGAATAATTAGACTCACCTGTAGTTGATTTCTTAATTAGGATTTTGTCTAAAATTTTAGGTTTGCTCTTAAGACTTTCATTGGGTTGTGTTCATTTTTGCAACATGGTCTTAAATTAATTTGTTATGAAAAATTGTGTGTTCAAATTTAGCAAATCTTGTTTGCAATCAATGTCCTGCATTTGTGGGAGTATTTTGTAGTATAATGTCCCATGGGAAATGTTGATCCTTGAAGGAAAGTTTAAGGTTTTCTGACAAATCTGTTGGGGTGTAAGCATTTTATGCTGAGCACTGGATATCTGATATTGGGCACTTTATTCATTTAAACACTTTTTTGACTATACACTTGTATTAAGTTCTTCTCCCTTCTTCCCCCCCCCCAATATCTGAAAAGTGTGGCATGCATTTGTATTCAGCCCTCCTGAGTTAATACTTTGTAGAACCACCTTTCGCTGCAATTACAGCTGCAAGTTTTTTTGGGGATGTCTTTACCAGCTTTGCACATCTAGAGTAAAATTTTTTTGCACGTTCTTCTTTTGAAGAATAGCTCGAGCAATTTTCAAGTCTTGCTACAGATTCTCAATTGGATTTAGGTCTGGACTTTGGCTGGGCCATTCTAACACATGAATATGCTTTTGATCTAAACCATTCCATTGTAGCTCTGACTGTATGTTTAGGGTCGTTGTCCTGCTGGAAGGTGAACTTCCGCCCTGAGTCGTTTGCAGACTCTAAGGTTTTCTTTTAAGACTGCCCAGTATTTGGCTCTATCCATCTTCCCATCAACTCTGACTAGCTTCCCTGTCTGTTGAGGATTAGCATTCCCACAACATGATACTGCCATCACCATGTTTCACGGTGGGGATGGTGTGTTCAGGTGAGGTGCAGTGTTTGGTTTTCCGCCACACATAGCATTTTGCTTTTAGGCCAAAAAAGTTCAGTTTTGGTCTCGGCAAACGTGGAAGTAGTTGCTCTGGTCAGATGTGTCCCCCACGTGGCTTCTCACAAACTGCAAACGGGACTTCTTATGGCTTTCTTTCAGTAATTGCTTTCTTCTTGCCACTCTTCCATAAAGGCCAGATTTGTGGAGTGCACGACTAATAGTTGTCCTGTGGACAGATTCTCCCACTTGAGCTGTGGATCTCTACAGCTCCTCCAGAGCTAAGATGAGCCTCTTGCCTGATTTTCAGATTAATGCTCTCCTTGCCTGGCCAAACAGTTTGGGTGGACAGCCATGTCTTGGTAGGTTTGCAGTAGTGCCATACTCTTTCCATTTTTGGATGATGGCATGAACAGTGCTCTGTGAGCTGTTCAAAGCTTGGGATTTTTTTTTTAATACCTGAACCCTGCTTTAAACTTCTCCACAACTTTATCCCTGACCTATCTGGTGTGTTCCTTGGCCTTCATGATGCTGTTTGTTCACTGATGTTCTCTAACAAACCTCTAAGGGCTTAACTGAACAGTTGTATTTATACTGAGATTAAATTACTCATGTGGACTCTATTTACTAATTAGGTAACTTCTGAATGCAATTGGTTCCCCTAGATTTTAGTTAGGGATATCAGAGTAAAGGGGGCTGAATACAAAAGCACGTCACACTTTTCAGATATTTATTTGTAAAAAAATTTTGAAAACCATTTTATCATTTTCCTTCCACTTCACAATTATGTGCTACTTTGTGTCCAGTCTATCACATAAAATCCTAATGAAATACATTTATGGTTTTGGTTGTAACAATGTGGAACATTTTTTTTCAAGGGGTATGAATACTTTTTCAAGGCACTGTAATTGGAATGCAACATGACATGTATACGGTTGCAGCTGCAGTTTGCATGTGTGACAATGTATACAAAATGCGCTGTTGTGATGTTATAACCTGCATTTAAAACTAATTTTAAGAAATGATTTGCTTGTTTGTCTCCATGAAAACCATAGTTTTCACTTTTTTGTTTTGATTTACTTCATGTTAAAACGTTCTTGCTATATAGCCTTGATTTTCATATTCCTAGGACCGGACATGTGAAATTTCAGAAGATCTGGATGCCAACAAGCTAGTGAGGAAGATGCGTAAACGGATATGTCTGGTGCTGGATTGTCTTTGTGCCCATGATTTCAGTGATAAGACTGCAGACCTAATCAATTTACAACATTATGTCATCAAAGAGAAGAGACTGGGAGAACGGGAAACAGTAGTTATCTTCTATGATGTTGTCCGAGTAGTAGAAGCCCTGCACAAGGTATTTCTCTAATGGTTGTCATATAAAGGCCTTTTTCATTCACTTTAATGTCTTTTAAAGCTGTAAAAGTGGCAGAGGTGTGTGTAGTCCCAGTCAGAGCAGGATAGAATACATACTGGGAGCTTGGCATACATGCCCTTACATTATTACCATGTTCACAACCATGAACTTTATCGAATACTGTTTTTAAAAAAAAAAAAAAAAAAAAAAAAAAGGAATTGACATTTGATTGCAGTCATTGTAACAGACATGCACATAGTATTAACTTACAAGGTACACTTTCAAGGACAAGATGTTACCTCTTACATTAGAATGTACTAATAATTATTTTTCAAAGAACTGTACAGGACGTATCGCAAACATTTTGATGGTCAGTACTATTGCACCACTGTAATAGAATTTTTCCTTTTCTATTTTTTATAGAAAAATATTGTACATAGAGACTTGAAGCTGGGTAATATGGTGCTGAACAAGAGGTAAGAGATCAACCAGCCAGGTTAAGAAATGTTTCCCATAGTAAAATTTGTAAACATTTTAACATGCATAATGTTGAAGTTAAATGGCTTCAGTTCTGCCATTCCTCAATCCATATACTATATATGCAAACTGGACCATTATTTAATACAATTTCATGACATCTTGCACAGTTTATAAACCAGAAGATAATGCTGAAAGGGTAGTGTTAGGTGTTGTCCAGTCTAGCAGGACAGATGGCCATATGCTGGAGTTAGTACGGCCTGCCCAAATTTAACAAAGATTTGTGTCAATGTAAGTTTTTTTTTTTTTTTTTGAATTCTGCATTCATTTATTGCTATAGAGTTTGAAAAAGTGTGTGTTTTGTTTTTTTGTGTTTTTGTAGTAGTGACTGTAGAAGGAGCTATCTTGGATCTCTGTACTGGGACCCCACATGCATGTAAAGCTCTGAGGTCCTTGTCCTTTTATGGTCCTTGTCTTTTAATTTTTACCAAGCCGTTCCAGATTTCTGTGCAAACATGACTATTTATTTTAAGTATATAAGTATATCATTGACATTGCATCCACTTTTAAGTGATGCAGGTTCTTACAGTAACATCATATGCATATTTGCTTTTGTGATGTAACAATGCAGGGATAGGTTTTTTTTTTTTTTTTTTCCCCTCCTGCATATCCCCCCTTTTTAGATGTATGACTATTGTTTTCCAGTTGTGTTTTTATACAATTGAAAAGCAGTGAAATGAGAGCTGTTTATTGCACTGCTGTGCTGCTGTGTGTTCCCCATAGAGTTGCGTGGGCTTATGTGCGAAACTATTGGCTTAATCAGGATGATTCATCTCCAAGAGTACAGCCTGTTCCGTCTGGATAATAGTGCTTCCAATGTATGTCTATAACAACCATGTACAGTATATCTCCCACGCATGTGTACACAATGATTTACTAAATGTACATTTAACAAAATTAAAAGTCAACTGGCTTTTCATATACCTAAAACCCACAAAAAACCTTTCTAAAACCTATTCTGAAGAATTTTTAAACAAGCACTGTAATCTATCCAGCAACCTTAATTGCACAGCTTTAGTTATTTTTGGATTAGGTTGTAACCCCAAAAGCTTCCCTTCAGTCACTTTAGGTGGGTTTAAAGGTGACCATAAACCCAAAATCAGTACATTGTTTCTTCCAGGTAGGTGAGGCAGATCCAGCTAGTATAGGACTGTGCTTTATAGTTGCTAGCGCTTGAAACAGGAGAATATCAGGTCATGATATATTTAAATGTGAAGCCTTTTTACATTTTTCACAGGTAGCAATATGTGCACCCACTGCTGACTTTACAACATGTGCACAAGGAGACCTCAGTCTAGCATAGGATTAGGACATTTGCATCAGTGGTTTGCATACAATGCCAGATGACTGCCTAACATTTAATAATTTTAAAGTGATTTCAATAAGATTCAAGATTTTGAAGGATCTTCACTTTTTGAGATGTAGATCATGTAACTTGCCAAACAACTAATATGACCATTTTAATTGCCTGGATTTAAGACAATATTAAGATTTATCTGCAGTAATGCCTCTTGGCAGGGTGACTATAACAAAAATACAGAATATTTCGGCAAAACCACTTTTTTAAGACATTAACCACTTGCCTACCAGTCACTTATATCCTCTTCCTGCCCAGGCCAATTTTCAGCTTTCAGTGCTGTCGCACTTTGACAATTGCGTGGTCATGCAACACTGCACCCATATGAAATTTTTATCATTTTTGTTTCACACAAATAGAGCTTTCTTTTGGTAGTATTTACTCACCACTGGGTGTTATTTCTTTGCGCTAAAAATTTTGAAAGGAAAGGAAAAAAAGTTTTTTCTATTATAAAATGTTGCAAACAGGTAATTTTTTCTCCTACACTGATGTGCACAGATAGGCAACACTGATGAGCTGGCACTGATATGCAACAATGATGGGCACTGATGGGCGGCACTGCTGGGCACAGATGGGCGGCACTGGTGGGTGACACTGCTGGGCTTTCTTCATCAGGGCACTGATTATCAGTGCCCTGATGATTGGTGCTGATCCGTCCTCTGACAATTGCCGGTTATCGGCAGTACCTTCCTCATGCTGTGACGGCTGATCACGTGGTAAAAGGCAGCTTGGATTGCCCTTTTTACCACATCAGGTGATCAGCTGTATCCGTAGGACATGGCGATCACTGAGATTGCTGGGTGCGAGCCCCCGGGGGTCCGTTCTGGGAGGACGTCATATGACGTCCTACCACAACTGGCCAGCCACAGTGTAGCCGTCATTCGGCTATCTGCAGGTCGGCAAGTGGTTAAAACAGAACTACTCTGCATCTGAACACCACAAACCAAAAACGCTATTTATTCATTTGGCATATTCAAAGCAAATTCACCCATCTATCAATGAAATGATTCATATAGCATTTATTTGCTGGAATCCTTTTTGCCCTTATCTCGGGTATGCAGGCAGGAGGCTGTGCTTTGCTGAGAAAACCTATCTTCCACTCCCAAAGACTGCTGGGGGAGTTTAAAACTAACTATGATATACTTTTCTATCTATGTATTAATGCAAGCAGCATGAGGATTAAAAACTGTCAGTGTTGAAAGAGTTATTCTTCGCTTTCACTATAAAATATAAAGACAATCCATACTGATGGATCAGTCAGCCTAGACTCAAGCTGACTTATAGATAGTGGAGAAGAGTTGGAATCCCTGACAAGTTTTATGGCTATCTGGGGTTCTATTAGATTTTCATTGCCTATTGAGGGACACATGTTTTTAAAATTCGGGCTATATTGTTGCCTACAGGAGGTGAACACAAAAGCTGTAGGCCAGCCCAAGATAATCCTCCTGCTACCATCATGCATCAGTTTTTAGCTTGTGTCTTTTGTAAAGTGAAAATATTTTTTCTTCAGCTTTGCTGCGTTAACCACTTGCCCTCGAGGATTCACCCCTCTTCCTGACCAGTCCTTTTTTTTGCGATACGGCACTGCGTTACTTTAACTGACAATTGCGCAGTCATGCAACGCTGTACATAAATGAAATTTGTCTTTTTCCCACAAATAGAGCTTTTTTTTCGGTGGTATTTGATCACCTCTGCTTCTTTTTGTTTAAAAAAAAGACAATTTTGAGAAATTTTTTTTGACTTTTTTTGTTATATATCCAATAAAAAAAATTATATATTTTTTTAAATCTTATTTCTTAAATTTAAGACCACCTATATCCTGCTACATGTCTTTGCTACAAAAAAAATCCCAATAATTGTATATTGGTTTACGTTAAAGTTTATTGCATCTACAAATTGTGTGTGTGTGTGTAATATATACTGGAATTTTTTAATTTTTGTTTATACTAGTAATGGCGGCAATCGGCGACTTCTTCTTACGGACTGCGGCGGGAATTCTGACATTGGGTGGGAACTAACTGCCACTGACATCCCTAGTGACACCAATACAGTGATCAGTGCTAATCAAAATGACACTGGGCAGGAAGGGGTTAACATCTGGGGCAATCAAAAGGTTAACTGTGTTGCTGTGTGTTTTTGTTACATTGTGTGCTGTTTTACTTGGAAGACATTCTGCTTTGTCTCTCTGCTGTGCAGAGAGATACAAAGCAGCATGTCCGTGCTGCTAGGAGAGAGACGTGTTTTTACTGCTGCTGCAACTTGCACACTGTACCCTGGCTCTTCACCTTTATACTCCTGTGCTGTTTAACGTGCCAGGAAGACACTGAGCTTTGGAGCACCGTTGGTCTATTTCCAGAGGAAATCAACCTAGGCGTACAGTTTCATTTTTAACCTCTTCCCTACCGTGCTATAGCCGAAAGACTGCTACAGTGCGGTTGTCTAGTTCTGGAAGGACGTCCTCCCAGAACATTCCCCCTGCGCGCCACTGGTGGTCGCGGTGTCTAAATCTATGAATCTCTCTGCTTCAGAAACCAGAATTCACTGGCTGGATATGGTTTATGCTATGAGATGTAGATGGCTCAGACATACTATAACCTCATGTCTCATGGTTAGGTTCTGTTTTTATCATATCGAGGACAACTCTACTAAATCTGTGCTGCTTGTGCTTTTTGCCATCAAGAAACTATTTTACCAGATTTTCAAGGTTGCCACCTGGTCTTCTATTTAACACATTCTCTTAAATTCTACCAGGTTGATATTTCTGCTTCCTCCCATGCTAGCTTCAGATGCAGTGTCCTTTTTTAAGATGATCCTTTGAACTGCAGGCAATTCCCAGCTCTTTTGTTCATTTTTGTTTTTAGGGCCTGTTAATGTTTTTTTGTGCATTGTTACCCGCCTCTCAGTTAGAATGTGGGGGTTATTTACTGAAACTGCATGATGCAAAATCCTGGTGCAGCTCTGCACAGAAACTAATCGGCTTCCAGGTTTTATTGTCAAAGCTTAATTGAACAAGGTGAAGTTAGAAGCTGATTGGCTACCAATGTAGAGCTGCACCAGATTCAGTTTTAGTAAATCTCCCCCTTTTGTGTTCCTCATTGGATGAGAGAGAGAGAATTAGGATTTGTTTATTACAATAATAGTGTGGTGCTGAATGTCAACATCCAAATAAAATTGTGCACAGAAAGTATGCAAACAATTGAACTTAACATAAACAACCTCTCAGCTTTGTGCCAGTGTACAAGATAAAGTTCAAAACATGTCAGGTAAAAGATAATAAAAAAAAAACCCTGAAGCCTCCAAAAAGAAATCCATAAAACATTTGCAAAGTGCTTGTATGCAAGTGATGTATGTCCACTCCAAACTCTAGTGCTTGCCAATTGCACACAACACCGCTGTGATTGCAAAGCTGCTTACCAGAAGACCATGACCCACTTTGTTAGAGTGGTTATAAAAACTGTATTATTGGTCATGAAAGCTGTATTATCAAGTGTTCTAGAAAATTACACAGCGTTCATCTAGGCAAATCTGCTCCCTGGAGATCCCGGCCTTCCAAAACCTAGAGCAAATATACAGACAAAGCTGGGTAATACACAGATCTGCAAATACTTCTCCCCTCAGGTAAGGCTGTAGTGACATGCAAGTGAGAGCTATTCTGAGGGAAGTGACCCCAATAGTATAAGATCCTTTTAAAAACCCTTAAAAAAACCAAAAAACAAACATTTACATTAAATCTCATGATGGATAACAGCAATGCATACAGATACAAGCAGGGATTCCACTATCAAAGATTCATAGATGGTGACTGGCCGGCCAACCAGCATGCATCCTAGATCTGCCCTTTTTTGTACTCCAGTAAGGAACGCTTGGTACTGCTTTTCTACAAACCTAGGCATGCTGGAAGTTATCCTGCACTGGCCTACAGTATTTTTGTTAGCTAGGTGGCAGTAAAGTCTATAGGTTATACTGTCTGTGTAGAGAGAAAACAGGTGACGCACACCCCTAATGCATTATCCAAGGTTTATTGTAAGAGTGAAAGAATAATAAAGACATACTCGCAGAGGAAGCATGTATCTAAAAAAGCATAGAAAAATGACAATGGCCACAACGGCAGGCAAGGTGTTCTCACTGTCAGTGCGGTCAAATGGCTGACGCGTTTCAGGGACGAATCCCTTTCCTCAGAGCTGATGACCAGCCTGTATGGAGGTCAAGTAGTAAATAACCAGGGCTAGATGCCTTGGGAGCAAAGCTCCACCTCCTCTACTTGTTCTAAGATGAGGGGTTGGAGGGGGTTATTTAAAGTGCAATCTTTTGTAGTTTTTATAAACGCATATACATACATATATACACATATACAAAGATACATACATGCACTAGGAGACAAAGCAAATAAAAAAATTATTAAAAATATATGAATATAGCACCTGCAAATGTAGATAAATAAAAATTTTTTTAAAATAAAATGTATAAACATAATCTTAGTAGTAACACTGACAATGATGATAAAAATATTAGTAAACATCATAAAAATAAAAGTAATAAGACTAGTGGATAGTGGATGATTATCAGTTCAAGAGTTATGAGTGTTAGGAGGTCCTTCTAAAGGTCATTCATTTTATCCATAGACACTCTCTTCATTTCATGTCTTCTAATGTCCCTTTCCCCCCCCCCCCCCCCCCCCCCAACAGTCCAATATCACTACACAGCACTCACATAGCACCGACAGTTTGCTCAGCGCTTTTACGTTTGAATAGATCTATATGGTCTACAGCCACACTCATAACTCTTGAACTGATAATCATCCACTATCCACTAGTCTTATTACTTTTATTTTTATGATGTTTACTAATATTATTTTTATCATTGCCAGTGTTACTACTACGATTATGTTTATACATTTTATTTTAAAAAATGTTTTTATCTACATTTGCAGGTGCTATATTCATGTATTTAATAATTTTTTTTTATTTGCTTTTGTCTCCTAGTGCATGTATGTATCTTTGTATATGTGTGTATATATGTATGTATATGCGTTTATAAAAACTACAAAAGATTGCACTTTAAATAACCCCCTCCAACCCCTCATCTTATAACAAGTAGAGGAGGTGGAGCTTTGCTCCCAATGCATCTAGCCCTGGTTATTTACTACTTAACCTCCATACAGGCTGGTCATCAGCTCTGAGGAAAGGGATTCGTCCCCGAAACGCGTCAGACATTTGACCGCACTGACAGTGAGAACACCTTGCCCGCCGTTGTGGCCATTTGTCATTTTTCTATGCTTTTTAGATACATGCTTCGTCTGAAGATGTCTTTATTATTCTTTCACTCCTACAATAAACCTTGGATAATGCACTAGGTGTGTGCGTCATCTGTTTTCTCTCTATCCAGTGGCTGATTTCCCCATCTGAGGAGGGCTTCACCCCTGAAGCATTTCCTTTGGTTGTCGCTGTCCTGGTACCCTTGGCTTCCCTTTTTGGCTGTGCATATCCTGAGGCGCTGGAGAGTACATACGATATACTGTCTGTGTACCTCCAGCAGAAAAGAATTGAGTGAGGTGAATGCAAAAATCCAGGTTTTTCCACACTTTCTGTTCTGTGGACATTTTTACTTAGTGTTACTGTTGGAGCGTTTCCTTCACTTTCTATCAAATGATATGACTGGAGTAAAAGGAAATCTCTTAATAGAACCCCAGATACCAGTAAAATCTGACACTCTAATCTATCCAAAATTGTAATGTTTTGGCTATGGGTACTTTACACCAGCCAAAAGATGAATTTTAAGATATTACACACAGAACTAGAGCACTTCTGAAACTTGTAAAGTCACCCGATCTCTTTCCCAGACCCCCCTAAGTGACACACAGCACCCTTCATGTTTTCTGTCTTCTGCTATCCCACCTAGTGCCCGGGACCCTCCATGGCAGGTGCTGTCCTCACCTAGGTTGTAATGTCACATTAACCACTTCCCACCTGTACAATGTCATGTGACATCCTGAACTATCATCAGTTATACCGGGATGATGCCTACAGCTGCAGGCATCATCCTAGTATCAAACTTTTTGGCCGACGATGCAGAATAGTGTAAAAGCAATCTGAGCAGCTAAATAACCACTTGATCGCTTTTACATACAGCACTTTCCACCTCCTTCCAAGGCTCTCCCATTCCACTGGGAAGCCCAGGACTGAAGCCAGCGGTGTCTCTTCCGCTTTCACCAGGATGTAAAGAAGCCATTACTAGCTTGTTAAAACATCTGCTCAAACCAATTTCAGTTTTATCAGATGCTTTTAAGGGCAGAAGAGCGATCTGGTCTTGTAATAAACCCCAGATGTCTCAGTAAAGCGGACCGGTCACTGCTCTAGCTAGGCAAAAACGAATGCATACATCATAGCGAAAGCAGTGTTGCATACATCATGCATACATCATAGCGAAAGCAGTGTTTCTAGCACCAGACATCCTTCCGTAACTGTAAATTGGTAACCTGTAAAGGCTTTCAAAGTGTTGCTTTATGGAGATTTTTTAGGTACAGTAGTTTGGCACCGTTCGATGGCTGTAGGCAGTTTTAAAGCGCTGAGCAAACTGTTGGCGATATACAAATCCTGTATAATAATAATAATCATTGTAAAGCATGTTGGGTATCTATTTAATCGGCATTTAAATCTTTTCTAGAAGTGTATTGTTCTCCCAAAAATTTAGGTTTAAAAAATGAATACCATGTGACATAAAAATTGCAACACCTGCTGTTTTATTATCTAGGGCTTAATGTTAGTAGTTAAGAGAACCTGTCACTATAAACATACTTAAAAAATGAAATGTACACCCAAGCACGTAAAGCACTCACAAAGAGGATAAGACATTAAAAACAAGATGCCAGAGTGTGGAAACCACGTCAACATGCAACCCTGGCAGATGACACGTTTGGCAGGGTTGCATGTTTACATGCAGTTTCCACACTGTGACATCTTGTGTTTTAACCACTTCCTGTCCGGACACTTTTACCCCCTTCCTGTCCAGGGCAATTTTCAGCTTTCAGCGCTATCACACTTTGAATGACAATTGCACTGTCATGCAACACTGTACCCATGTGAATTTTTTACCATTTGCTTTTAGACAGATAAAGCTTTATTTTTTTTTGCTATGTAAATGAAAGTCCAAAAATTTTGAAAAGCGTTTTTTCTTATAAAATTTTGCAAATAAATAATATTTCATCCTAAATCTTGGCCAAAATTTATTCCGTTCTTTTATCTTTTTAGTAAAAAAAAAAAAGCCAAATTGGCTTATAACCAAAAAATTATTTTTAAACTTTTTTTTTTTTATTTTTAATATTTGTTTTTTTTTTTTTATAACATGCTGTCACCCTAGCACCTGTACTACTTGTGTGGGGTGATTTTTTTTTTTTTTTTTACACGGATTGCTTTTACACCCATATATAGGATGTAAAAGCAATCATTTCTCCTTCTCCGTCTGCATTCTTGTAGCCATTGAGAACTACTGAGTGAGCTGTGATTGGTCACAGCTTGTCACATGGTACAAGGCTGTTGTGAATAGCCTTGTACCATGTGACCTCTGATCATTCAGATTTCACCCATAGTAAGCAATGTCACACGTGACATCTTGCTTACTACTTTGCATGTGATCACTGATTGGGCAATCAGTGATCACATGATCGGGACCTTGTACAGAGGTCCCGTCCGACGATCGGTGTTTCACTGTGTCCAGAGGACACAGCGGGCACTGGAATCGCGGTGCGGTTTATAAACTGCCACCCGACCCTGCAGTGCCACCGTCCGGCCGTTTATATACAACGGCCGGATGGGAGGTGGTTAACAAACTTTCCTCTTCTGCCTTTGTGAGTATTCACTTGGCATTTATTGGATTTTACACAAATCGCTGGTAATGCACTAGTTTGCGCCTTCCTGTTCTATTGTTCATGGCATGCCTTGTTACTAAGCAACCATATTCTCCCAAAATCATTCGTACAATGCATTTTTCATTAAATAATTTCCTAACTGTGTTCTGCCTCCCTGTAATGTCCTCCACAAACTACCAGTCCTCTTCCTCCTCTCTTCTCCCCCCACTTGTTTAGAATGTGCAGGTCATGTTCGTTGCAGTCATGCGCAATGTTCTCTGCACACCAAATATACCATGGTCCATAATTTATTGTCCATCTTGAGAGCAACCAAGTGAGGATGTCTTCCTTTTTGTTTGTTGCTGTAATCCATTTTAGAGGGTATTTGGAGGAGGCTGAAAGCAATAGAAGGTACTTCTCTGTGTTAAGAACATTCTTAAGTAGAATACATATATATTTGTTCATATGTTTCTGTTTTGATCAATTTCCAGAACTCATAGAATAACCATCACTAATTTCTGCCTTGGGAAACACTTGGTGAGTGAAGATGACCTATTGAAAGATCAGAGAGGAAGTCCAGCATACATCAGTCCTGATGTACTTAGTGGTGAGGAACACTGTAAAAGCACCTCTTGTGCCCTTTTTATATTTTCGCTGTCTTGCTCTTCTATTCTTTTCTATTATTCTTCCCTTTTTTAAAATGTATTTATTTTGTTTCTTTCTTGTCCTGTTACAAAAACACTGTGCTGATTCAAAGTTGGAGATAGAAAGTGGTTTATGACTGTGGCTCAGACAGGGATAGGTGGGATGTGACAAGAAAATGAGTTCTGCTTTCTCTTGTTAGATTTTCTATAATATAACTGTGAAGGTTGGCACACTTATTCTGTTCTTAATATGATTATTTTCACTTACTGGTTTAAAGGTGAACTCTAGACTCTGGAACTTGTAGGCATGGAGTAGAATTATCAGAATATTTAAAGTATGGTTTAGGTCAAACAATGCAAGGAAGCAAAATTTGCTATTTGTGTCCATAAATAGGGATTTTTTTTTTTTTTTTTTTATTTATTTATTTATTCCATTGGTCCTATACTTTTGTATGTGGTTGGTTTAGGGGGTCTTTCACTAACTCTGAAAGCTTTTAAGGAAAAAATTATGGAAAAATTGCAAAATGGTCCGGCCAGCTGGGTTTAAAAGGGAGTGCAGAGCCTGGCAGCGAAAGGATTAAAGCGCTAAATTCCCTGCATGCAAAGTCCCTGAAACTTCCTGGACCACTTGTTACAGTACATTTTTTGCAGTAATCTAATCATATGGATGGATGTCTCTATCGATAATACTGCCCATTCAAATTCATGTGACCGTTCAGCTAGTGAACAGGGGTTTTCCTGGACAGGGCAGTCAGAGCTTTGGGTGTGTATCAAAGCTGAGTTGCTTAAGATGAGGTGAGGTATTGATCGTTCAAATTGAAAGTGGATAAGAGGTAGCATAATATATCATGGTAAAAACAAATCCAGAAGTGTTGTGAGAACGGCCACATATTACGTTACCTGATGTGTATGCATTGTCTTATATCTCTGTTTTTATTCCAAATGTGTTTTTTTTTTTTTTTTTTTTTTTTTTTTTTTAATTTATGGAATTCACTTCTGGACCAAAATTAATAGCTGTTTCTGTTGCCTCAAAGGTCGGCCTTATCGAGGAAAGCCAAGTGACATGTGGGCTCTGGGTGTAGTCCTTTTTACCATGTTGTATGGTCAGTTTCCCTTCTATGACAGCATACCTCAAGAACTTTTTCGCAAAATTAAGGCAGCAGAATACTCTATCCCAGAGTGAGTTGAAATTTTATATAAATGAAGAATTGCATTTTAAACTTGTAACTGAAACTAGCCACAGTCTGATATTGTTTCACGATTACTGTCCAGATCAATCAAAATGTAACAAATAATGTAAAGTGTGAAGGCTTTGTTTTGAAGTTTTCAGTATGTTTTGAGGAATGCATTTGTGCATGTTTTTGGCTCTGTTACGGTCCCTTTTTTGTGTCTTTTTAAACTACATGAGTGGTTGTCAGTATTTTTGGGTCCATAGCACCATAGCAGCAGTGTATTCCTTCCCCATACCCAGTAGAATTGCCGGCCATGGAAGGGGTGGTGGAGGAAAAGCACCGCGGTGGTGAGGACGGGTGTACATAGGCCCTGTCACTTGTCCTTGAATGAACAAGGATATCTGGGTTATCAACTTTTTTTTTTTTTTTTTTTTTTTTTTTTTTTTTTTTTTTTTAAATTAATCTCTCTCTCACTGTTAAAGTGATATAATCTGCTCTTGGGTTCCTCTAGGTCTGTCCACATTATGAACAAGTTCAACTCTCCTTGTGTGTTCTATTTCTACTTTTAATTTGGTTTTATAGAAATGGAACATCCAAAACTCCCAGATACAGCAGTAGAGAGATTACTGTTTAAGTATTCAACAGAGGAAGAAATTGGCTGACTCAGCCTAATGGTCTCTACCTATAACTAAAATATGACTTTTTGTTGGACTTGACCATTTTGGGTTGATTCTTCTTAATACATTAATTTCAGATAGCAAGATAGCAAAAAAGCAGTGCTGATGAACTACAGTTATGTTCTAAAAGCTGGAGACAAATGCCGTTGCTAATAACGTTATCCTAATTGTACAGTACAGAACATGGGCTGCATATTCATTGACCTTGGGCTATAGGCTGGTACTTTTAGGAAGTGATTGGACACTGGCAAAGGGTTTGAGGACATGTTTCCTAGGGTCCCTCCCCCCCCCCTATAACCTACCCACCCTGTGAGTCTTCAGTTTTTTGCTAGTAATGAACATCTGCCTTTTGGGGAAAAAAAAAACTTTTAGCTTGATTAGATTAGTTTATTTTAATTTTGGATTCTTCAGTCAACTATTCACTGTGTTCTAATCCCACCACAGAAGCAGTGCATCTGAATTGGTGCAACTTTTGGTAAAACTTTAGAAGCTATACCTGGACCCACATCATGAGGATAGTCTGTGTCTTCGGGAACTGGATCCTGCATGGGTGCTCACCTAAGCACTTGATGCAGCATTGGTCACAGGGTGCTGTACAGGTCCAGGGCCGTGGTCAGTCCTATGGAACCCAGACCCTGGAGAACCCTTGGGAAGTATGCCCACTGTGATGGACAAAGCCTGGACCCTATATAGGTGCCAACAACAAGGATGAGTAAGACAGACAGTTTCCATGTTTATTGAACTGAAACTGTAACCCCCCCCCCCCCCCCCCCAATCCCTGAATAGTATGTATTTATGTGTTTTTAACACATCGGGAAACTGGGACTGTGTTTGAAACAATTTCACTTTACAGTGTTAACTTTTCAAACTTGGCACTAAAATTCAACCGCTTAGAGCCTAGTCTCAGGTGGATGACCAGGTATTGCATCACGCCATAGATCACATACTTTACAGCCACTTTTGCCTTGAACCCTTTTATATTAGGTACTCAGGCAATTCCTTTGGCCCTTTTTATCATGAGGGCTTCCATATAGGATGGTCACCACCCAGGTTATTGCCTACTCCTCAGATGTGGTTACCCCATTTCTGCACCCTAGTTCGTGAGTATTGCGAATACCCTCGTCTGTGGCAATGGTGGAAACCAGGGGAAAGGGAGCCTCCGCAAAAGCTCAGGCAGATTTTCATGTTACAAAATGCCCATACAACATTTAAAGGGCTTGTTCACACAAGCAAGGTTTAATGTTGTTTGACTTTTTTTTTTTTTTTTTTAAAAAAGCCTCATAACTGCCCTTCAATGCCTGTCATGAATATTACAATGGTCACAACACAGTGCTGTTCGCACAGAAGGGGTACAGTTTTTTATGCTTTGTTAAAAATTTAGGCAACATATGTCTTTCATGAGGCATCAATGCTGGTCAGCCACCGCCGTTGATTTCAGTGGTAATGTTCTAAAACCGCACCTAGAGCATTTATGGTATGTTGGTAAATAATTTATAAAGCTTTAACTGGGCATTAGAGGCAGCGGAGTCGTTTTTATATCCCAGAATACACTGGGAAATAGAGGACAAGGACAGAGCAGCACCAGTCACTTTCTGATTGTATTGAGCAGCTGTATGTCAACACGACTTGCTTCTGTGTGTGGGCAACAGCATCAAGTCAGCTAGCAGTACTGACAGTGGCAGATAGAAGCAGAGGTATTGAGCATTGTCAGTGGCAAAGCTTTTTGTGTCATCAAAGTTGTTCTAGACCAAGCTAAATGTCAAAGATCAAAGTACTCTATATTGCCAAAAGTATCGGGACGCCTGCCTTTACATGCACATGAACTTTAATGGCATCCCAGTCTTAGTCCGTAGGTTTCAATATTGAGTTGGCCCACCCTTTGCAGCTATAACCGCTTCAACTCTTCTTGGAAGGCTGTCATCAAGGTTTAGGAGTTTGTCTATGGGAATGTTTGACCATTCTTCTAGAAGTGCATTTTTGAGGTCAGTCACTGATGTCAGATGAGAAGGCCTGGCTTGCAGTCTCCACTCTAATCCATCCCAAAAGTTTTCTAATAGGTTGATGTCAGGCCAGTCAAGTTCCTCCACCCCAAACTCGCTCATCCATGTCTTTGTGGACCTTGCTTTGTGCACTGGTGCACAGTCGTGTTGGAACAAGAATGGGCCATCCCCAAACTGTTCCCACAAAGCTGGGAGCATGAAATTATCCAAAATGTCTTGGTATGCTGACGCCTTAAGAGTTCCCTTCACTGGAACTAAGGGGCCAAGCTCAACCCCTGAAAAACAACCCCACACCATAATCCCCCCCCCCCCCCCCCCCCCCCACCAAACTTTACACTTGTCACAATGAAGTCAGGCGAGTACCGTTCTCCTGGCAACCAATCAAACCAAGGCACGTCCATCAGATTGCCAGAAAGAGAAGCGTGATTGGTCACTCCAGAGAACACGTCTCTTCTGCTCTAGAGTCCGATGCTTTGCATTGCACTTGGTGATGTAAGGCTTGCATCCAGCTGCTGGGCCATGGAAACCCATTCCGTGAAGCACTGTAAACACTGTTGCTCTAGTTTCAAGGCCACAAGAAGTTTGGAGGTCTTTAGCTATTGACTCTGCAGACAGTTTGCAACTTCTGCGCACTGTGCGCTTCAGCATATGCTGATCCCACTCAGTCCATTTTACGTGGTAGACCACGTCAAATGGCAGAGTTGCTGTTGTTCCCAGTTGCTTCCACTTTGTTATAATACCACTAACAGTTGACCGTGGAACATTTAGTAGCAAGGAAATTTCACAGATGGACTTACTGCACAGGTGGCAACCTATCACGGTACCACGCTTGAATTCACTGAGTTCCTGAGAGCGACTCATTCTTTCACAAATGTTTGTAGAAGCAGTTTGCATGCCTAGCTGCTTGATTTTATACACCTGTGGAAGTGATTGGAATACCTGAATCCAATGATTTGGAGGGGTGTCCCAATACTTTTGGCTATATAGTGTATTTATAATCCATCTTTCAGATAATTCACAAAATGTCTGCTAGAACACCACAACCTAACCACACCTCAAAGTAGACTATCTTCTCTATCACTTCTCCATTAGGTACGTCCCACTAGAAAAGCAACACTTTTTCAAAGGAGTCTTCAGTGCTTCATAAACGTAACAAAAACCTGTCATAAATGCTATAGGAGCTTTAATGAGCATTAATTCTTCATAATCAACACAATGCGTGAACGAGCCCAAACTCGGTGGCGATGCTTCCCTTGCATCGGAGCAGGACCCTATTTTAACACCAGTCTCTGCATGCATGAGATAGCAACTAGAAATGGATGCAAAGTGTCATATCTGGCTTGGACTTTTCTGCAACTATAGAAAAAGGAAAAAATACCTGCTCTAAAATCCCAATAGTTTATACATATATAATCCAGTGTCCAGTCAGCTGAAAGTACCAGCCTATAACCCAGGGTCTAGGCTTATCAAGCCGTGCCCTGTATTGCGCTCTCAAGATGCAGGCAAGTCAAAATTCCTTTTTTGGTAAGCAGATGTAAGATATGTTCTTGGTTGAGGTGTGTAACAAGTGCAACTCAAAGTTCATGCTAATGTTTATTTAAGATTTGTAGCCCACTTATTGAATAGGCAAATTATGAAATTATTGCAGACTGCTTTATAAGTCACAGCTGACGTCCGCTGGTTAGGTTTTCCTGTTTTCTTTTTTTTTTTTTTTTTTTTTTTTTTTTTTTTTTAATGGCTTTTGATGTACCAGGAGTCTGGACCACCTATAATATGGCTAAGGTTAGGTTATGTGCGGGTGGTGCCGCTGCGGATCACATGAAAATCCGTGCAGCTGCATTACCCGCACAGAAAAATGCGGACCTGCAGGTGGGTGCCGTTAATTCTAATGGCAAGCCGCCCGCACTGGAAATTGCAACCGCACTGGGAACCGAGGTTCCCATGCGGGCTGTGGTCTCCAAAGAAGTGCAGGTACTTCTCCCCTGCTTGGCACGGGGCTCCATTCAAATGAATGGACTCTCGTGCCCACGCAAAATGCGGCCCGCACGGATATAGATAGAGCGAAATATATATATATATATATATATATATATATATATATATATATATATATATATATATATATATATATATATATATATTATATATCAGGGGTAGCAGTCTCCTACTGTTTAGCTGAAGCGTTAATGAACATCTGCAATTTTCTTTTTCAATACAGGGATGGCAGAGTATCGGAGAATACAGTTTGTCTAATAAGAAAGTTGCTGGTTTTGGATCCTCAGCAGCGCCTGACTGCATCTGAGGTTCTGGAGTCTCTTGGAGGAATCATATCTTCATGGTGGGTTGCTAATTTATCATTTTAAAATAAATGTATGGTGTCGTATTTTTAAATCCTAATCCGTATTCGCTATGTCTCTGGTTTGTAAGACTTGTTACACTTGAAAAAGAGAAGCATGGGCTTGTTTAAAAAAACAAAACAAAAAATCCTCCATTCATAATCACCTAGGTGGATGCAGCACAGATCCATGCTGAATTTGTCTCCCACTGGCACGAAGACCAAGAACTGAGCGATCAAATGCTCAGCTCTCGGCCTTCAGTCTGCAGAGAGCTGTCAGTCTCCGGCTCTCTGCTCTACCCCTCCAGCACTCGCTGGAGCACCAGGCTGAGTTAGGGGTAGGAGTGGCTGACCTTGTCTCCCAGTGGCTTTCTGAATCTGATCCAGCTTCCAGCCCAGACATTTGGGTAGATCCCTACTGTAAAGTCTGGATCTTTTCTTGAAGATGGACCGTGACGTCTGCCAACAGTGGCTTTACCCAAACTGCACGCTATAAACGAAAAAAGACGAAAATTTTGGGGAAAAAATGCGTTTTTTTTTTTTTTTTAGTTATAAAATTTTGAAAATAAGTAATTTTACTTCACACAATTTGAAGAAAATTTATACTGCTACATTTCTTGTACAATGAATTTTATTAGACAGCACAAGAACAAAGAAACAGTCCGAAGCAAGCTCATTGACACAAAAAATAAGATGTACAATTCTGTTGATGAGAACATAACAAATGCACTGAAGTATTAACACGGAGAGAAACTGAGCACAAAAACACAATTTATGAAAGGATGGAATGAAACCCTATAAATTGCTGTAACCGCAAACAAGTGGTGACCAATGAGCTAGTGGGCAAAGGCCAAGGAAAATCACCAAAGTCGCATACAGATAATAGGAAAAGCTGAGCATGGAGTCTCACTGGACATACATCGGAACTCTACACCAAGGACTCCCAAAGTCCCACAGGTGTATAAAACATTACAGGCTTGATTCTTCAGGGGTATCACAATCGGCGCGTGTAACATGAAAACTGACAAACGGAAAAGGGGAGACGGGAGAAACAAGAATAGAAAGACAAAGAGAGGGCACCAGGAGATTCTCATATCGACAGGAGGTTCTAGTCAAATCGAGATGGTTGGGCCACATCAATCCAGGGCGCTAGGTCTGCAGAAACTTAGTGTGGGTGTCCAACAGCATAGCCGATAAATTTTATAATGGTCAATGAGAAGCTGATTCTTAATGGCTTCAAAGCTAAAAAGAGGGGTTTTCCAAGCTCTTGCGATCATCCATTTGGTAGCCATAAATAGATGCGATGCTAACTGCCACTCAGAACGGAATAGGCCTACTAGTGGTTTAAATAATAATTATTCTTATTATACGGTATTTATATAGCGCCAACAGTTCGCTCAGCGCTGTACATTATAATGGGAGACAGACCATGCGACAGTACAATTACAATGCGATACACGAGGGGTTCGAGGGCCCTGCTACTTGGAGCTTACAATCTAGGAGATAGTGCCTCATATGGGTTATGCTTAATATCTGTGTGTAGCATAGTGCGGAGAAGGGCATAGACCATACTCTACTACATTTATTTGGTAGCAATAACACCAGTGTATATTATTTGGTCTGTGTGAAAGCTATAGAGTCTACAAGCTATGGTACCAATCATTGAAAATCGATGACGCTGATGTACCGATGGCTTATCTAAATTATTGAGGCCCTAACCAGCCAGGGCAGTACAAATAACCCCCAAATGACCCCTTTTTGGAAAGTAGACATTCCAAAGTATTTAGTAAGATGCATGGTGCGTTTTTTTTTTTTTTTTTTTTTTTTTTTTTTTTTCCCCCCCCCCCCCCCCCCCCCCCCCCCACCCACAAAATTGTTATATTAAGTTATTTCTGACACACAGCACAGGCATATTTTCAACTGCACCCCAAAATACATTCGTTACTCCTGAATATAACTATACCAAATGTGTGGGACTTTTCCACGGCCTGACCACTTAGAGAGTCCCAACATTCAAGTAGCACCTTTAGGCGTTCTAGGGGCAAAAATTACACATCTAATTTCCAGACAACCTATCATTTATGAAGGCCCTGGAGCAACAGGACTGGGAAAACACCCACAAAATGACCCAGTTTTTGGAAAGCAAACCGAATATGTGGAAAGAAAATGAAAACGTGTGTGGTGTTTTTTTTTTTTTTCTTACACAGTTGTCCATTTTATAAGATATTTGTAACACATAGCATGTAGATAACAAAAAATACATTCTGCTACTCGTCCGGAGTATGCAGTACCACATATGTGAGACTTTTTAACAGCCTGGCCACATACAGAGGCCCGACATCAAAGTAGCATCATCAGATGTTCTAGGGAAATAAATTGCACATCTTATTTCCAGACAACCTATCATTTTTGAAGGCCCTTCATATTTCTAACACTTAGCATGTACATACCAAGAATTACGCTCCAAAATACATTATGCTGAGAAAATGGTACGCAAAAGATTACCTGTGGTTTTTAGTGGTGCAGTTGTCCACAGAGGAGAGCATTGGTCCATGCAGCAGGCAGGGACGTGGTCAGCGACATCAAAAGCAATTGTCCAGGCAGCAGACAGGATTATTGTCCATAGTCGGTACAGGAAGCCGGCAGAGATATTGTCAGCACACCCTCTTATAGCTGGGGATGTAACTGTGTTCAGATTTAAGCAATCGCATTCAAAATCATGTTAAATGATGGCAGGTGTGTACTGGCTTCTATTTAACGTGCCTCTGTTTAACCCCAAATAAAGTTCAGCTCTTCTAGTAGGTTTTTCCTGACATTTTCTTAGTCGCATCATATGGCAAAAGCCATGCTCCGCAGAGAGCTTCCAAAGCATCAGAGGGATCGCTTTGTTAAAAGGTGTCAGTCAGGAGAAGGGTACAAAAGAATTTCCAAGGCATTAGATATACCATAGGAACACAGTGAAGACAGTTATCAAGTGGAGAAAATATGGCGTAACAGTGACATTACAAGAACTGGATGCCCCTTAAAAATTGATGAAAAGAACACTGGTCTTGAAGGCTACAAGAGGCCTACAGCAACATTAAAGAAGCTGCAGGAATATCTGGCAAGTACTAGCTGTGTGATACATGTGACAACAATCTCCCGTATTCTTCATATTTCTGGGCTGTGGGGTAGAGTGGCAAGAAGGAAGTCTTTTCTTATGAAGTAAAATATCCAAGCCTGGCTAAATTTTGCAAATACACATCTGAAGTCTCCCAAAAGCATGTGAGAAAATGTGTTATGGCCAAAAAGTTAACCCTTGGTTCATCAGTTCATAAGTCCATCATAAAGTGGAGAAAATATGGCGCAACAGTGTCATTACAAAGAACTGGACATCCCTCCAAAATTGATGAAAAGACCTGAAGAAAACTGGTCTGGGAGGCCTACAGCAACATTAAAGAAGCTGCAGGAATATCTGGAGAGTACTGGCTGTGTGGTACATGTGACGATCTCCCATATTCTTCATATTTCTGGTCTATGGGGTAGAGTGGGAAGACACAAGCCTTTTCTTATAAAGAAATACATCCAAGCCCGGCTAAATTTTGAAAAAAACACATCTGAAGTCTGCCAAAAGCATGTGGGGAAAATGTGTTATGGTCTGATGAAACCAAGGTTGAACTTCTTGGCCATAATTCTAAAAGATATATATATTTGGCACAAAAACACTGCACATCACCAAAAGAACACCATACCCACAGTGAAGCATGGTGATAGCAGTATCATGCTTTTTGTGGCTGTTTTTCTTCAGCTGGAACTGGGGCCTTTAGTCAAGGTAGAGAGAATTATGAACCGTTCCAAATACCAGTCAATATTGGCACAAAACCTTCAGGCTTCTGCTAGAATGCTGAACATGAAGAGGAACTTCATCTTTCAGTATGACAATGACCCAAAGCATACATCCAAATCAACAAAGGAATGGCTTCACCAGAAGAAGATTAAAGTTTTGGAATGGCCTAGCCAGGGCCTTGACCTGAATCTGATCAAAAATCTGTGGGGTGATCTGAAGAGGGCTGTGCACAGGAGATGTCCTTGCGATTTTGACAGATTTGGAGTGTTTTTGCAAGGAGGAGTGGGCAAATATTGGCAAATCAAGATGTGCCATGCTGATAAACTCATACCCAAAAAGACTGAGTGCTATAATCATAAAATCAAAAGATGCTTCAACAAGGTATTAGGTTAAGGGTGTGCATACTTATGCAACCTTTATTATAGTGTTTTTTTTTTTTTTTGTTCCTTCTACCTAAAAGATTTCAGTTTGTTGTTCAACTGAGTTGTACAGTTTATAGGTCACAGTAAAGTTGGAAAAAGTTCTGAAATGATCTTTGTTTCATTTTATTACATCACAAAAACCTGCCATTTTAACAGGGGTGTGTAGACGTTTTATATCCACTGTAGATGTCTTGTTTTTCCCTCCACTTCATAGCCAATATCTTTGTTCCGCAAACTCAGACTCCCCTCGCTGTAGTCTTGTGTTCACCAGCCTTTGCGGAAAGTTCTTCCTACTGGCTCTCACAGTACCACATGCTAGTGTTCTCCTTCAGTGAAGATTGCAGAAAAGGGGCAAGCTGTTGTAAAAATTCTCAACATATAGATAACCTTTTTCAAGGAGTGGAAATACAAGCTCCCAGTCAACTTTTCCACTTGCTCCAATGTAATTTTGGGCATTCAGGGGGATGCAGTTGGGTGTCCTTTCCTTCGTACACGAGGAAGGCATACACGTATCCCGTGGCTCTGTCGCATAATTTAGAGTTTATCCCCATATTTTGCTGGGGATAAACTGCTTGAAGCTCAGCCTGCCAGTGAAGGAGACAACTCACCCACGCAGATATTTTTGTCCAGGACAAATAGTTGGACGAATTTCTTGGAGAAAAAAAAATGTGGCCGAATTTTATACAATTTATTATATGCTGGGTCATTTTGGGGAAAGCACTGGGTGTTATCTAATCATCATGTAGTTCCTCTATTGCAACGATATCTTGTTCTGGGCACGACTGATTAGGAAATTTTGCATATGATGGATTGGGTGGATAGACCAGTAGTGTGTGTGTGTGTGTGTGTGTGTGTGTGTGTGTGTGTTTTTTTTTTTTTTTTTTTTTTTGTCCCATATTAAATGTAAGGTCCAAAAAGGTTCTAAAGTACTCCACTGTTAACTGCTTCCATTCATAGGAACTGGCATAACTTGGATCTGGGTTGGTGGCTATGGGTTGTTGGGCATAGAGGTTGCACTGGTCAACTATTGAATTTAGCAAGTCTTTCGTAAAAATTAAATTAAAAAAATCAATTCGCGTTCACTCACTGGCAGGCACAGATAGGGCACTGGTGAGAACACTCACCGTTTAGAAACAGATTCTCTCTCCTTTCCTCGCACACGTTATTGGTTTAAGGAAAGGAGAGGGAAAACCCAGCCATGACCCTTCTGTGTTTTTACATTTGTGATCGCTCTTCATTGGACAGAGCAATCACAAATGTAAACAGCCCCTGCAATCGGCCCTTCACCCCCCCCCCTTCCTCTTCGTGATGCGCTGTGTCTGAGGGACACAGCCATCACTTACAGTTCCAGATGCGCGCCACTGGAGGCGCACGGGAAGCGTAATCGTGGGAGGACATCATATGACTCCCTCCCAGAACTGGCCGGCCGTGGTGAAGCCGTCATATGGCTATCACCCGTCGGCAAGTGGTTAAAAGAGAAGCATTTACAGGGAGAAGAAAACTCATAGTGTTCAGGAGAGGAGCTGTTAAGGCATAAAATGAACGTGGAACATGCAAAATGCGCATAGATGCTAGACTTTCCTCCTGTAGATGTATTTTCTCACCATACAGTTCCTACATATCAGAAGCTGCTGACCCAGGAAGTGTGTGTGTACGAACTCTCCATTGCACACGTCAGCAGATTCTTGCATTTTCCAGGCTGAAGCTCCTCCCTGTGCACAGCATAATTGATTGATTTTGGTAGGTTATGTGACGATCGTGGCGTCAGACCCCCAGCCCTTCTCACCAACTTGTGACCGAAGGACTAGCCAATCTAAAACCGCGCTGTCACGTGCGTAACAATGCCACGCTCAGCTGCACCCTGTACAAAGATTTTCCAGCTAATGGCCCTCGATCTATGTACCTGCAGCCTAAGAGCGATTGTTACTGGGTCAGGTTAATTACGCAATTAACCCTTCACACTGCCACCACCACCTTTTTGTACAGAGTAGGAGGAAACTCGCCAATATTAGCAATAACACTAGGGTGTTTGAATAATCGTCTGTATACCACTGTCACCGCAGGCAGAGAGATACAGAAGTTTAAAAACACATAGTAGCGCTCTTCAGAGACAGGGATCCTTAGTTTGCATTGAACTTTAGAAACAGTTCAACACTTTTCAGATAATAGGATTTATTACTAAAAATTGTGCAATAACAATATTTACAGAAAAGGAATAAATATATTACACACAGCAAAGGGATAACAGAAGTTTAGAGAGGCCGTCAGCCTTGGTTTAATCAGCTCAAGTTTCAGAGCAAAGGGTACTGTCTCCCGAGTTGGTTCTGATGTTAAAAGGGAGATTTCTTCAACTCAACTTAACTCTCTGCTCCAAGCATAACTGCCTTTTTCTAGGAACTCAGCAGGGTGTCTCCTTGAAGCAGAGAACCAATTGCCTCATTTGGGGAGGGTGTTGTAGGCAGGGGACTCAGGCTAGAACCAAAATCCCTCACAAGTTATACCAGGGCAATAACCTTCCCTAGGTACATGTAACATTCTATCCACGGGTAGGGTAGATTAATATGCAGAATGATATTCTGAACGTCTAGATATCAAACATGGCATAGTTTACTATTTCAGCTAGAACTATATGCTTTCTGCTCTCCTGTAGACTTCAACTAGGGGGTGTAAGATATCAGGTGACTTGTATTAAACTGAGCTATCCAAATTATATGCTTTGTTTGTTTATGTAATTATTTCCTACCTTAAGATATATAATTATATGGAAAAGTAGGTTTTTAAATGTGAGTCTGTTTTACGGCTAGCTGGAATGTCTGTGAAGCCCAGTGAAGGACTGGTTTATGGCTTTGCGATCCTTTCCAAGCAAGAGTCTCCACAGACATACTGGGGCCAGGCTAATTGGGGTTTATAACCATGAAGCTCTCCAGCTGGGGCCTGATGCCTGTGATCTCTCAGCATCATACAGACCACATGTCACGCAACAGAGGGAGGGGGGGGGGATTGGAGGAGGGAGAGGGAAATACAAGATGGAAGGTCTTTAGCAAGATGGATGACCGCATCCATCTCTGTGTGCACAATTTCTACAGGTTAATCTAAGTTATTTGCTGCTGAACCCCTGCTAGAGATTGCTGTCAGCTATGCTGACTCCAGTCTTCATTTGCAGGCTGCTGGGGGGATGACTTCAGACACCTTCCCTCATCCACATCCAAGGACAGGAGAAATTTTGTCTCATGTTTACAAATTCTGATTTTGTCTTTGTCATTTCTGCTCTTGTGACAACCTTTTTTTCTTATTGTAATTTTGTAATATGGCAAATCATAACGTTTAATATCTAAGTGTTTCTTGTTTGTAGGCAATCAATGTCCTCGTTAAGTGGCCCGCTGCAGGTTGTTCCTGACATTGATCATGTGACAAGTCCAGAGAACTTGCAGGAGGTAAGGACTGTTCTGTTTTGAATAAATATAAATACTACTTAAAAAAAAAAAAATAATTATATATATATATATATATTTTTTTTATATTTTTTTTTTTTATGTATTTTACTTTCTGCTATAAAACCTACTAATCCCAATAAGTGTATGTTGATTGGTTTGCGCAAAAGTTAATGTCTAGAAACCTATGGTGTATGTATATAGGACTTTTTTTTTTTTTTTTTTTTTTATCCTATTAATGGTGGCGATCAGCGGCTTATAGCAGGACTGCGATATTGCGCAGGCAGTCTGACACTGACTGACACTTGGGACTGTGGGAACCAGTGACACTGATACAGTGGTCAGTGCTAAAAATATACGCTTTCGTTGTATTAATGACACTGGCTGGGAAACGGTTAACTCTTCTCGCCCTAGATGTTTAACTGGGTGCATAGCCATAGTTTTTGTGCACTGTTTTTACTGAGAAATCTTCTAGATCTTATTCCTTGCTTTGCAGGAAGATATCTAGCAGTTCACAGCTGACAGAACACAGCTCTGCCTTGTTTACATAGGCAGAACTGTGTTCTTTCAGTCTCCTCGGTGATCAACAGATGCCAGTGCTCATCCATTGGCTGGCACCTGTTGATTGGTTTCTGCTATGACCAATCAAAGCAGAAGCATCCCTCCGGCAGAGTGCGTGCCCTACGGCGGAAGTGCAAAAGAACACAGACCATACGCCCTGTAGTAGTAAATCTGCTGGTTAATAGGGACCTTTAAAGCATTGCACCCGAGATCAGCAGAACCCGGGTGCAATCTCAGGCTCTTGCAGACTGTTGGTGTAGCTGTCTGCCCATACCTCATATGGGCAGGCAGTTACTGAATGACAGGAAGCATCAATGAACTACCTTGAGTGCTCATCAGCGCCCCCTGGTAGTTCAGTAAGAATTACAAGCAGTCAGCTGCAATGGATGATGGTAGTTGCAGTTTTTTTTCCCCATTCACCGTGTGGGGCTTGCCAACCCGGCCGCAGTTTTAAAAAAAAAAAACAAAAAAAAACTGACCGCAGGCTGGGGATCGAGGGGAATGCTGCTGCAACAGTGACCTGTTACGCCATGAATATGGGTATAACAAGTCAACCTATCCTTTTTTAGAGTTCCCTGGAAGAGGAAAGGGGGTTTACTTACCTCTCCAGCAGTCCAGTGCTGCAGGCTTCAGTGTTTGATGGCATTGAACCTCTTGGTGTCCCTTACTGTGCTCTGTTTTTCTATCCTTTTATCCCCTACTTCACTATTTTGTCCTGTAGTGATGGTCAGAGGATGGCACCACAGTGCACAGCGGGGACCACAAGCATCTGACACGCCTGAAAGTGAACCTCCGGATTCCCACTTTTGCAGTTAAATTTGAGAAAACCGCACTATGTTTGTGTTCCTTTTCACACTGTAGAAATAGAATTAGCCATGACACCTGACAATTTTTAAGAATTTCTAGACCGTCTTAACTGTCTTTTGTCCCCACACTATCCATTGACATACAATGCAGGAAGACTGTTTCTAAATTTTTACCCTTCCAGCGCAATGAATACAAATACAAGCTAATGTAGCATTTATTTTTAAGCAGGGTGTAAATTTCAGATGCCTTTAGCTGCAGACAATACAAGCAAGGCAAGGAAGCATTAAATACTTTTCTTTAAAAAAAAAAAAAAAAAAAAGACTTTAAATCCCCTCTCCTACAATTTTTTTATTTCTTTAGCTATCAGATATATATATCATTTTTCCCACTACACATCTTTTTTGGGGGGACTGGCTGGGTCCAAACCCAAGGCAACTTTTAGCATCAGACATAACCCTACATGAAACCTAAACTTAAAACAAACCAGTCTCAAGAAAAAGTGTCTATCTTGCTCATCTTACATTGCTTGAGTAACTGATCAAAGTTATTCGCTTTCACTTTTTTGCACTTTGCTTATGCTCCTTTCACACTCGTGGTCCAATCAGGTCTGCCTGTCAGTTTTTCAGGCAAACCTGATTGGATGGTCCATATATCCCTATGAACTGGCAGCTTGTTTTCATTTACATCCACTTGCTCCAATCCAGTCTGCAAAAAAAATGGGTAGGGATCCGTCACTCATTAACATACAATGCAGGAAGGCAGTTTTTCTAAATTTTTACCCTTTTGTTAGGACAGACAGTGTTCAAATCTAGATTACAGCTCATAATGAGGAACTGCAAACGGTACAGACAGGGTTAATTGTTAAACAGTATTCTGCTGCCCCCTCCTAAACATTACAAACCTAGGGGAAGCGTGTGAAGATTTTTTTTTAAAAGGTAAGCTGCAATTTTTAATGGGAGAGACAGACTGCTGGAGAGGTGAGTATATTAGCTTTTCCATTGCAGGGAACTTAAATCCATATTTTTATTATTTGCTTTATTAAAGCTGACAGTCCTCTTGTTAAATTACTGCAGCCCAGTCCATTCCTTCCACCTTAGTTTTGCTTGAGTTTCAGAGTGCAGTTTACTTAATTTGGGCAAAAGTTTTTCTTTGCTATCTGACATGTTTTTTTTATCTTTGTAGACAAAAGTGACAGAAGAATCATCTCAGTATGAGTTTGAAAACTACATGCGGCAGCAGCTTCTTCTGGCAGAGGAGAAAAACACAATCCACGAAGCCAAGAACTTCCCTCAGAAACGTCACTTTGGCAATTTCCCACCCATTAGAAGGTTGGGATATGATGCTCAGCCAGTGAGCCCTTTGGACGCTGCAATTTTGGCCCAGCGATACCTGCCTCCACCACACCTGACTCTTCCCAGTTCTCACTAACTCCATTAGGCCCTAGATGCTTCGTTGTCCCTTTTTAAAAACAGGTGGAGAATCTCCCTCAGCTGTGAAAGGTTTACATGGTGCTAGACTTCTACTTTGCCTCGCTCAGCTTTTTTTTTTTTTAATTTTTTCTTTTCCTTTTTACTATGATTTTGTCTAAAAAAAAACAAAATATTGCACATGAATCCTGATGCCCCTTCCAGTTATCCTATAGCAATACACTTCCAGCACAATGAATACAAATACAAGCTAATGTAGCATTTATTTTTAAGCAGGGTGTAATTTACAGATGCCATTAGCTGCAGACAATGCAAGCAAGGCATGGAAGCATTAAATACTTTTCTTTTTAAAAAAAAAAAAAAAAAAAAAAAAAAGTTTTTTAAATCCCCTCTCTCCTACAATTTTATTCTTTAGCTATCAGCTTTTTTTTTTTTTAAATATATACATATATATATATATATATATATATATATATAGATCTATACATAGACATTAAATCTACCTCTCTTTTGTAGCAAGTTCCACAGAGTGGAAACATACAGCATTTAGAAGGAGTCTGCTGTGGAACAGATTTGTCTTATTTGCTATTTGTTCATAGTTTGTCCCCCTTTTTTTTTACTGCTGGGGTGACCTAGTCTAGATATTGTGTACATATATAAATATATATATAAATAATATATATCCTTATATAGAGATATATATTTGATATTGAATATCCGCTGGATTGCAATATCCTTGTAGAAAGAATAAGCTGTGTTATAACCATTAGGCTTATAACATCCACATCCTCTCCTGTCATCTGACCTTGTTTTTTTTTTTTTTTTTTTTTTTTTTTTTATTTTGGTTTTTTTTTTTTTTTTTTTTTTCCCTGTATGATCTAAATCTTGCCTATTTATTAGAATGTTATTTTTTTAGTCTGAAAACAATATCCTGAGGTCCCTTTTACAAAGCACGGAATGATGTGTTCTCGCTGTGTTACACTGTGACATGGAATTTTGATGATTCATTAAAAAAAAAAAAAAAATTTATGCCTCTCTATCTGTATATATAGATATTTCCTTTATTTGGGAAGGTAAAAAGCAGTACATGGTAACATATAATGGCAAATCGGATCCTTCAGTGCATTTGTTAAAGTGCTGAGCTCTGATTGATTGTCAGGTGTTAGGCACATCATTGTTGTTTGCACCATATTATTAAATAAAGGCCATAGTGTGCATTTTTTTGTTTTTATAAATTGCTGCTGATATGTCCTTTTTGGTGTGTTTAATTAGGCAGCTTGCACTGTGTTCATTATATTTTCCCACTACACATCTTTTTTGGGGGGACTGGCTGGGTCCAAACCCAAGGCAACTCTTAGCATCAGACATAACCCTACATGAAACCTAAACTTCAAACAAACCAGTCTCAAGAAAAACAGTGTCTGTCTTGCTCATCTTATATTGCTTGAATAACTGATCAAAGTTTTCGCTTTTCACTTTTTTTGCACTTATGGCTCCTTTCACACTTGTGGTCCAATCAGGTCTGCCTGTCAGTTTTTCTGGCAAACCTGATTGGATGGTCTAATGAACTGGCAGCTTTTTTCATTTACACCCACTTGCTCTGATCCGGTCTGCAAAAAAAAAAAAGGGGAAAGGGATCCGTCCCCTTCTGTCTAGGTGGACCGGAGGGCAGTCGGGTGTAAAGGAAAACTGAGTCTGAACCCCCCACCCACAGAGCAGAGAGGGTTCTGTTTGTTTCCATGTGCAGGCAATTAGAATTTTACGAAGACACCACCATCAGAGGCAGCCTATGCATTTTTTGACCGGTTTACGTTAAATAATTAGAGGTTACCAATACCATGAATGATCTTTTGTGATATTTGACTTTTAGGGGGAGATGTACTAAAACTGGTTTTGATCTGGTGCAGTTGTGTATCGTAACCATTCAATGTCTAGGTTTTAGTGTCTGGTCATACCGGTGTGATTTGGGAACTGAAATCGCATCTAATGACTGTGAATGTCAGTGTATTAACATTTGCGATGTGCTGCAGCTCGTTTTTTTATTTCTTTTTTTGCGCTTTCACATAGAATAGAATATAGTGGAAATCACACACTGCAAATTACAAGAAATCGTTGAAATTCTTCACAAGTAGCAATAAAGTCTTTAGAAAGCACACCTGAATTTGCATTGAAATTGCACACAAATCATGTGATCGCAGCGGTATGACCAGTGACTTTTTGCCAATGCTTAACTGAACAAGCTGAAGTTGGAATTGGTTACTGTGCATAGCTGCGCCAGATTCTGTGTGCATCGGTTTTTAGTAAATCCTCCTCTTAGGCTGGCCATACATTATACAATTTTCTTGTACAGGTTTCATTTAGATTTACCAAAACCATATATGAGGTCAAACCTAAACACTTTCAATTTGTGTGCAATCAGGCAGGCCCTTGCACTACATAGTTGAAGGTAAATCAAAAGGAAATTGAATAGGAAAAATGTGTAATGTATTTTTTTTTTTTTCTTTGTGTGGGAAAGGTTTGGAACCTTAAACATAAATAGGTTTTCCTTCACCGTCCAATTTGACAATGGTTTTGCTAGATGGGAAGTGAGAGTAAAGGTATCAACAAACACCTTTTAGAGGAGTTCTAGTTTGTGTTTATATTAATATATAAATAAAATGCTCCAAAAAATTAACCACTTGCCCTCCAGAGGATTTACTCCCCTTCCTGACCAGGTCTATTTTGCTATTTGGCACTGCGCTATTTCAACTGGTAACTGGTCATGCAGTGCTGTACCTAAATTAACTTTGTCGTTTTTTATTTTTTTTTTACACAAGTGGATCTTCTTTCCTTTGGTGGTATTTGATCACCTGTGCACTTGTTTTTATTTTTTGCTCTATAAACAAATTTTGAAAAAAGATGATATTTTTTACTTTCGGCTAGAAAAAATATATAGTAAAATTAAAAAATTTAGGCCAAACTGTATTTTGCTGCATGTCTTTGGTAAAAAACAAATTGCGATAAGTGTATATTGATTGCTTTGTGCGAACGTTTTTGATAGCATCTACAAACTATGGGTAAGCTACTGCAATTTACGCTTTTTTTTTTTTTTTTTTTTTTCCACACAAATGGCTTTCTTTTGGTGATATTTGATCATCTCTGGGGTTTTTTATTTTTCACAATAAACAAAAAAAGACAGAAAATTTTGAAAAACAAAACTATATTTTCTCATTTTGGTCATAAAAATTTTTTTGTCAAATTTAGGCCTAAATGTATTTTGCTACATGTCTTCGGTGTAAAAAAAAAAATAACTGTAGATGCTATAACTTTCACACTAACCAATATGCAAACTATGGTATAGCCACATACAGGAGCCTGAAATCCAATAAGCACCTTCAGACTTTTAACCACTTGCCATCCTGAGGATTTACCCCCCCTTAACTAGTTGCCGCCCGGCCTATAGCCAGATGACGGCCGGGCGAACATCTCTTCCCTCCAGGTGGACACCATATGGTGTCCTTTTCAAAGTCGCAGGGCCGTGCTGCGGCACGATCTGTCACTGGCCGTGTGCCTTGGACGCGGCCAATGACAGATCTGTGTACCGGCCCCTGTTGCCAGTACCATGTGACCTGCTGTGACCAATCGCAGCAGGTCACATGACAGTTGTATACAATGGATGGCTTCCTTTCATGCCATCCATTGTATACAAGTGTGTCTCTAGCTGTGAATGGTCACAGAGATCACATGCACAAGCTGGGCCAATCACAGCCCTTCTGTGTCATGTGATTAGCCGTGGCCAAATCACAGCTAATCAAAAAAAAAAAAACCCTGAATGAATCGACTTCATTCAGGTAAATTCTTTGTGTGGAAAAAAAAAAAAAAAAATACTGATGACTTCCCCAATTCGCTTATAACAAAGTCGTATGGTAACATTATACTACTTTGGTCATAGTGAAATATGAAAAAAAAAATCTTAGTACGAAAAAAAAATTAATAATTTCTTAATTTTTTTATTACATTTTGTTCTGTCACCAGTCTGTATCCCTGATCACTGCCACAACAGTTATATGATGATGCTGTACTTCACTGGTGACAGTATGTGTAAAAAAAAAAAAAAAGTCTTTTTTTTTTTTAATTTCTTTTTCCGAAAAATTGTGACAAATTACAGCTTCAAAAAACTCGCCATGCCTGTTATGAAATGTCTGTCTACTTTGCAAAAAGGGGTCATTTGAGGGATATCTGTACTGTTCTGACTTTTTTGGGCCTCAAGAAATTAGATTTGCTGTCAGTACTATATATCCCATAGTTTGTGAACTCTATAAATTTCCTACAAACTAAATCATAAATACTAATTTGCGTTATTTTCACCACAGAAATGTAGCAGAATACTAACTTTATGAAGAACAATTATTTATTTGCAAACTTTTATAACAAAGAAAAACGTGCGTTTTTTTTTTTTTTTTTTTTTTTTTTTCAAAATTCTGTCTTTTTGTTAATTTTAGCAAAAAAAAAACCCAGTGGTGATTAAATACCACTAAAAGAAAGCTCTACTTGTGTGAAGAAAATTAAAAAATTTTATTTTGGGTTTTAGTTTGGGTTCAGTGTTGCATGATCGCGCAATTGTCATTCAAAGTGTGAGAGTGCTGAAAATTGGCCTGGGCAGGAAGGGGGTAAAAGTGCCCTGTATGGAAGTGGTTAATGGCCAGGCCTCTTTTGGCTCTTCTGCGCTGCATTATATCAACTGATAATTGTGCGGTCATGCAATGCTGTACCCAAACGAAATTTACGGCCTTTTTTTCACACAAATAAGCCTTTCGTTTGGTATTTGATCACCTAAGCTTTTTATTTTTGGCACTATAAACAAAAGACTGAATAATTTTGAAATAAACCCCATATTGTCTCATTTCTGTCATAAAAAATATCTGAATAACTCAAATTTTGTAATAAATTTAGGCCAAAATGTATTCTGCTACATGTTTTTGGTTAAAAAAAAAAGAAAAAAAAAAAAAAAAATCCCAATAA